TATGTATTATATATAATATTATGTTGCCATGAATTCGTAGGTATATTTTGTTGTTTAAAATGCAGTTGTCGGCGTATTTTAGAGAACTCAAATATAAAAATGGTTGATTTTAAGGTTATGTTTGTGCAACAATTATTTTTTACTAATTTCTTAAAAATGTCCAAACTTAAATATAAATTATAAAAAACCTTTTCTTTGTTTTTTTTTCTCGGAACCACGCTCAAAAGTTTCGTTTAGATATAAAAATGAGCCTGTGAAAAAGTGAGCTCTTAATTTCAAAATTAAGATGCTCCGCATCGCACTTTTCGATTTTTCATAAGAATAACAAGAAAAATCATTTTTGTTTCTTTTTATTTTGGTAACTAACGAACGATAGGTCGTACTGTAAAGTTCTTGACATATTTTCGTAGAGAATTGAACGCTCTACAAAAAAGGTTTATTATGATATTTTGATAAATTTGATCCTTCTAAAGGAATTTAAGGCCAAAGTTTAAATTATACGAAATTTATGGGTTTTATAACTTTTTTTGGCGAGTCTACCCGACTCATTTAAAATTTTTTGAAATATTTTTGTAGATAATTGAACGCTCTACAAAAAAGGTCTATAGTTATTTTTCGGTAAGTTAACTTGGTTAAAAGTTATTCAAGGTTAAAGTGAAATTAACCTTCAAAAACGAATCTTAACGAAACTTTTAAGTGTGGTTCCGAGAAAAAAAACAAAAAAAGGTTCTTTTGAATCACCCTAATATACACTCACAGGCAAAATAATCGATCCACACAAATTTTCGATGAATTTTAATCGCAAATAACTTTTTTATTTGATGTCGGATTTAAACGAATATTAAAGAATATTGTAGATAAATTAATGGACAATCGCTCACATTTTAAAAAATTACTAAAAAATAGATGTACGTTTATAATATACACGGTTTAAACAAAAAGATGTTTTTTACCATAAGTTTAAGACACTCTGTAGAGTGGCAAAACCGTATATTGTTCTAAATTAAGTTGTATTTATCAAGTCACATCTATTCTTAACAGTTTTGTTTTTGGTTTACCTCGATATATTTATTTGCCTGTGAGTGTATATAGTTTTGGTTTTAACTGCTTTCAAAAAACATACTTTTTAAGAACCCTAAGTAAATATGGTTTTGTTTTGATATAATATTTAGGTAAAAGTTAAGAGTTGCACGTGTTACTTGGGTATGGCCCACACATTATCCAATAAATTTATAAAAAAAATATTAAAATATGTTTTAATTGTTCCAGATGAGGAAGTTGACGATGAATTAAGGACAAATAAAAATTTAAAAAATCCTAAAACTTATTCAAAGGCTACAATAGGTAGGTACCAAAAAAAAACAAATCAAATAGTAAATATAAAAGTTATACAGTGACTTATTTTCTTCGATGTTTTCGTGTACAACAGTAAATGTACTGGTAGTGGTACCAACATTTACACCGTAGACCAACATTTACACTGTACCAACATTTGCACTGTAGAACACGAAAACGTCGAAGAAAATAAGTCACTGGGTGAAGTTATTTCTCCACATTTAACTTCTCCGTTATGTAAGTTTTATATTTATTCATTTATACATACAGGGTGTTATGTAATTAATGTTATATATTAAAATACTGAATACCTTTTGACATAAGGAATAAAGGAAAAATATTTAAAAAAACATTTTTCCAAAGATAAAGAAAAAATATGCATTAGAAGTTTTTTATATTTTTTGTGATACGCCACTGGTTACACACTTGTTTATCTCTGCACACCTGTATTTTGTGAAAAAAATAAATAAAAACTCAATAAATACGAAAGTTTTATGCCCTTAAGGCTCTAATACCCTTCTGTATTTATTTACTGATCCAGCAATTAGCTTAAGCAATGATTAGAAAATTTAGTACCTATTTTAAAAAATCCATATCCACAGAATTAATTTTTCTTTCTGTTTACCCAGATGAAATTGGGACCAGTTCACAGGTTAAACTTTAAACATTTAATTTGTGTAAATAAATCCAAAAGCACTTCCCTTAGTTAAGATATTTACAATTTGAGCACATAACCAAAAATTTGAAAGAAATGCACTAGATTCTGTCATAAAAGTTGGCAGATTTTGTTTGAATTTACCTTCAGTACAAAAATGACATAACCAACAATTAATAAAAACGCCAAATTGACAATTTGCATTGTTAATTTTGTCATTTTTGTAATTAAGCTTAATTTAAACAATGATGTCAACTTTTTTGACAGAATTTGGTTGTTACCAACCATAATAAATTAAATTAGGCAACCAGATAAAGTTCCTAGTCGATCAGTGGCGTACTCTTTGGTAGGATAAAGGATATTATAAATTATTTTTAGTCTTTGGAATTTAGAAAAAAAAAGTTTCAGGTGCTTCTTTATCTATCCTAAGGAACAACCCATTTTTATATATAACATTAATTACATAACACCCTGTATATATGGGGCATTACACGCTAACTCGACCACCGTCTGACGTCAGGGTACCCTGCCACTACTAATAAATACTGTTGCTAAATTTTTAAAATGCTATTTTTTTTGCAAAATAATATCTCTTATATTTTAAAAAACGGGTACCTAACAGCATATTTCAAAAAGCGTGGGAAAAAAGGGAATTTTTGAACATTTTCGAGGGAAATTTGTTGCAAATGGGTTGGCAACACTGCCTCCGTGCCTAAACTACTTTATTCGTTGTAATAATAGTATATTACACTACACAAGTGTGAGATTCCTGCACTGCGCGCCATGATGCCCGAGGCAGCAGTTCAGGACTCTCACACTTTCTGCCCGTGTAGTGTATACTATTTTTCTTACTACCTCGGCCGAAAATACAACCCGGCCGAAAATACGGGAAAAAATTAAATGTGTATTTATGTACCTATCTCCATTTGAAGAGCTTGATAAATAAATAACAGTAGGCCGTGAATTCAGCGGTGCCAATACAGTAAAAATAAAACGTTGTATTTTAATTTACAAATTACTACTTTATAACAAATAAAAGTACCATTAAACACTTAAAACAACATAAAAAGTAAAAAAGTAAAAACATAAATTGTTTATTTGTTGTTATAATTGCAAAATTATGGTTTAAAACTGTCATATTTTAGTTTCTCATGTTGGCAGTACGAAATTTGAATGTTAAGCACACGACTAAAAAATTTTTACTCCCGCTATTAGAGTGTGCGCGTATAGCTTGACCAATGCATAAAACGTAAACTTTCTGTCGTGGAATCGGGGACGAAACAACGTATTTTGAGTCAAGGTAGTAAGAAATAGTATATTACACTACAAGGGCAGAAAGTGTGAGATTCCTGCACTGCGCGCCATGATGCCCGAGGCGAAGCCGAGGGCATCATGGCGCGCAGTTCAGGGCTCTTACACTTTCTGCCCGTGTAGTGTATACTATTTTTCTTGCTACCCCGCAGAAAATACGGGAAAAAATTAAATGTATATAAAAAAACTTGTGTCAAAATTAAAATCTGACGTTTAATTTAATTCTGACGTTTACATTCAAAATCAATCAAACTGTAGCGTTGTCATGGTAATTCAGCGGTGCCAATACAGTAAAAATAAAAGGTTGTATTTTAATTAACAAATTACTACTTTATAACAAATTAAAGTACCATTAAACACTTAAAACAACATAAAAAGTAAAAAAGTAAAAACATAAATTGTTTATTTGTTGTTATAATTGCAAAATTATGGTTTAAAACTGTCATATTTTTGTGTTTCTCATGTTGGCAGTACGAAATTTGAATGTTAAGCACACGACTAAAAAATTTTTACTCCCGCTATTAGAGTGTGCGCGTATAGCTTGACCAATGCAAGAAACGTAAACTTTCTGCCGTGAAATCGGGGACGAAACAACGTATTTTGAGTCGAGGTAGTAAGAAAAATTAATTTTTAGATAAAACAACCGACGAGCCCATAGTTCCGCCGCCAATTTCTATCAAAGAAGAACCAGAAGAAGCCTGTGGAAGCCGCATGGACTATGATGACACTAGTGAAGTTTTAAGTGACAATTTTGCATCTGAAAAAGAAACCGACAAAGACATTATTGTGGGGGAATCTGTGGTAGTGAAAGAAGAGCCCACCGAAGTTATCGAAAAAGAATTCGCCGAGCAGTGTTTAAATTGTACGATAAAATATTTAAAACAATGCACTAAAAGTAATGTCTGTGAGGAAATTACTTTTCTGGAAAAATTAAAAGTTAAATGGCCACTTTTACAATGACTACCAGTTTTAGGAATTAGTTAAGAATATTGTATTTTTTTATTATCTAATGTTATTACAAATAATAAAACCATTTTTTGATTTTATTTTTTTTTTTAAATATTTTTTTATTTTTGCCACAAACGTTGTTTTAGCAACTACGCTCAACAATGTTTATAAATTAAATTAGAGTTATAGTCTATCTACTCCTACAATGACGAGCTGTCACTTTATGGCGTTTTATTGACGGGCTGAAGTTAACAACAGTGGCTTTTCGACATTTTACGTCACGGGCTGAAGTTAGCTTTATTATAAATTGGGAAAAAGTGAGGTTAAATTCGGGTGACAGTTGACAGATGTCAAAATTTTAACAAATAAAATTGGCTTTGAATTCTGTTTTGTGTTCGTCGTAGATAAAGTATAGTATGCAACTCGTTTATAAACTTCTCTAGACACTCGTTTTTATTAAACACTCGCTCGCAAGCTTCGCTCGTGCTTAATTATACTCGTAACTAAAATGGCGTTTATAAAACTTGATACATAATATACTATAAAACAGTGCACTGAATCTTATGTTCGCGAGGAAATTAAGTTTTTGGAAAATTTATAATTGAAATGGCCACATTTAAAGTGACTGAATATTGTGATTTTTTGTATTTTTATGTAAATAAATTTAATTTACTTTTTATTTATATTACAAGAGAACAATAATTAAAAAAAATGTGGCAACGTTGCAGCTTATTCAGGGCTGCCAACCAGCAAATCATATAATGTTGATGTTGTTTGAGGTTGCGTTGTTATTGTGTTGCTTTAGGTAAATGATTAATTATTGAAAAAACAACACTTGGAAACAAAACAATCTCTTTATAGCAAGTGTATCCACTATTATAGCACTCCGCCACAAATCACATAGACTACGCATGGGGGGAAACTAGTGTGACAGTAATTGGGGTTATCTCTGGGAATTTTGACCGTATCTTGGCACACCGCTTTTGCCCTGACAGTCGTAATTTAACCATTAACTTCTGTAACTCCCTCACGGCGGGTAAACGTTTTTTATTGTAGATATAAATTAAAACATAATGTGTATTTGAATTACTAACAATGGGTAAGTGTGTTGTGGATACTTGTGATAATAGAAGCAGCGGACCACGTAAAAAGCCTAATGTTTCCTTCTTTAAGTAAGTAAAAATATAGTAAATAGTTTTATTGCAAACATTTACTATGCTGAGGCACATACCTAGTACAGGTAATAGCTAATATTTTTATCCTAATAACTAGTTTGTTTCTACGGATAAATCCGTATTTATATATTTAATCATTACCGCGTTTTTATAGATTTCCTAGAGATGTCGATACAAAAATAGAGTGGGTAAATTTAATTAAAAAACGTGTGGATTGGATACCAACCATTCACTCCTCTGTTTGTTCCGATCATTTCGAAGATATATATATGTATAACACTGAAAAGGGGTATCGGAAAATCCAAAGAAAAGGAGTACCAACATTAAACCTACCGAAATATGTAAGTACAAATGTTACAGTTTTCACTTTTATACACGGTGATTGCGGAGAAGCTCTTCTCTACTTTAACACGCTATATTTTGTTTTTGCTATTTAAACATTGAATTGAGAATTTGATCTAAATATTTGACTATCCTGTCGCATGTATCCTTCTGATTTGTTCGGCACTGGTATCCTTGGTTAGGCTTCAAGCATAGAAATAACACTTAGTGTTATTTCTATGGCTTCAAGATGTGTTTTGACAGTTGACATATTAGTTCGAATTTTTAGGTTAATTCGTTGTTTATTTAGTTTTGTGTCTGCCGGGTACAGGCCTATAAAGGCCTATAAAGGCGCGATTTATCTCAGTTTTAAATCGACAACCGTGGTGTTTACGTCGTGATATTTTTGTATTTATTTTAAAAACATGGGCAAATGTGTTGTGATGGGGTGTGAAAACAGAACTGATACGAAAGGCGACGAAAAAAATGATGTTAATTTCTTTGTGTAAGTAGAAATTAAATAAATAAAATTGCAGAAATCGCGCTCTCCTCCTCTATTAAATTGGCTTGCGTCGAAGAAAATCAGAGTTGAATTAGTCAATTTCGATACCAATTAATTTCGGAGAGAGGTCGTTTTGTGCATGTTTGCCATTGTTTGTTGCATTTCATGTTTTTTATATGTCGTTTAGGTATATTTAAAATTCACAAAAAATATTCATTTTCAATTGTAGTTTCATTGTTTTTATAAATAAATTGATTCATTGTTTTTGTAAAAAATTGATTTTTCCTAAAGATCTTTATTAAAAATATCTATAAAAATGTATTAACTTGACATTATTAGTTTAAAAGACATTTAAAATTGCAATAGACCTATTTTCTTTTCTTTATTGACTTCGTAAATTAAATTTCAGTCAGGCAAATATAAAATGATTTTTGCAAATCTCTACCTCAGAGGTAAACTGTAGTAAGTCCAATATTATCGAAAATGAGATATTTATGAAAAAAATCACTGAGTTATCCACTAGTCAAGTAATCATAGATATTAATATTTAAAAACTAATGTAATGATCAGTTAATAAATGTAAGAACTAGAAGTATTTTCAAATTTTATGGAAACATTGTACATTTGTTTTTTTCAATAGTATCTATTGAAAATATTTTCATTTTCAAAGTTTTGAAAAATCTAATTTGAACAAATGCGGTTGTTTTTTTATTTCAGCTTATAAAACGTATTGTTAAACTAAGGGTTGTTAAATATTTTTCAGATTTCCTCAAGATCCCATTATAAAACAAAAATGGATAAAAGCAATGAAAAAGCCTGACAACTGGCTGCCGCTTAAGTACAGTAGAGTTTGTTCGAAACATTTTAAGTATGAGCTAATTGACACCACTAAACAACGTCGCAGATTACATTCCCTAGCGGTACCATCATTAAATTTGCCATCCAATATAAGCAGTGACAAGTATACACAAACTGATTGTCCAAATACACAATATAGAAATAGGCATTTAATAAAAGTAAGCATGATATATTTTTGTATTTATTAAAAAATTTATGAAAAAAAAAGTTTGTTTATTTAAAATGTTTGAATATAACGTTTGAAATTTTAACAAATTACACTAGTTAAGAGCCATTTTGCCCACTAAACGCGAAATTCTCATCAACAGCAATTTGTATCCAGGACATTTAGCAGTCAATTCCTATGAAATATTATTCGCTGAATCCGAAAATGTCGTCAAAACTTATAAAAGTAGAACAGTTTTTGAAATATAATCAATTTACATATAATATTGAATTGACTATATCTCAAAAACTGCTCTACTTTTATAGTTATAGTCTTTTCGGATTCAGGGGACAATTTTACATAAGAATTGGCTGGTAAATGTCCTGGATACAAATAGAGTATGATATTGGACATATGTCCAATAATAGAAATTTACATTTTTTACCAACCAGTAATTGGACAATGGCCATTTTACTGTTTGTTTTCATAATTAAAATTAAAACGCATTAAAGTGACAATGTTTAAACCATGAGGAACACATTTATACCACACACTGATCTGTACACTTTTTAGAAATATTTTTTATTGTAATTTAAACACAGCCCTGCTCTTAACAAAAAAAAATCTTACCACCAAAGTAACGTGCGAACTTTTTTGTCCTATATTGGACCCAAAATAAAGTAGTTCTATATTATTACCGACTGAGATATTTGTTATTGTATACAGCGCCATCTAATGATTTGACTTTAAGGTAACTAGGTATTTATAGAACTCTTGTTTTTACAGTATTAATGTTAATTGTCCAATAACTATAAAGTGTCCGATAACTGTCTACTTTACCCTATCATTTTAGAATGAAATGCCCTCAGAAATTCGGGATGAGGAGTTAAATGCTAAAGAAGACGAGTTTTCTTTTGACGATTCGTCTTCTCATATAGAAAGTGACTCGTCGTTCCAAGAAGATAGCGATTCTCGATTTCATGGCGATGATAGTGACGTGATTCAATTTGTAAGAAATACGCCGAAAAAAAGAAAATTAAAACAGACGAAGGGAACCGTAAAACGTACAAAAAACATAAACAATTTACTGGAAAGTCGTCGTAGGCTTCAGGAAGAACTGGCAAACATTGAAAATATTTTGGGTTCCCTTCAAAACGAAAAAAACATCAGCCAGGATGATGCTTTCGAAGGTAAGTCCATTAACCAATAAAGTATAAACACAATAAAATAAATTACGATCTATTACGGTTTTCATGCTAAATTTGCGATATGCGTGGTCTATGTGGTCTGTGAGGTTGGGTTATGAGGAAAATGTTATTTTTGATTTGATAAAGGTGTTCTTTTGGGTAAAAACTATGCAGAAACGTTGATTTATTTATATCAACTGATTTAGCATATCAGTGGATATAGGTTTTTGCACGCAACGCTGTATTTTTCTTTAAAAACTGTTGTTTTATAAAATAAATTGGGTAATTATCTTTCAACGTTTATATTTTCCCTAAAAAATTCGATTTCTATACATTGACATTTTAAATTAGACATAAAACAATTAAAATGTCATCAAGATTTATTTGACATTTGTGACATTTGCTTTTAACTATAGAATAGTCTATTATGTATCAAGTTTGATAAACGCCATTTTATACTTAAATTAATGAGTGTATAGAAAAGTTTATAAACGAGGTGCATACTATACTTTTTCTACGAAAAATACTTATTATTATCTTAAAATGATTTAAATCAAAAATTTGTATAGAGCGTCATCTATGAAACAATAGGGGAATCTGTGTGTCACCGTCAAATGTCAATTTTATAAAAACAGATTATAAAGGTTATAAATCGAAATGTATTTCTTGAAAATAAACAGTTTTTTACAGTGAAAGTAAAGAAAATGTTTTATGAGCACTTTACAGTGGAGTCCGTGCCCGAATTTAAGTTATAGTTTACTGCCGGCGAAATTAAAAGGTCAGTTGAGAAACTACTTTTGCATTTGTGTATTGAGATAATAAAATAATTTTCACATTTAGTATTATTTTACAAAAAAGGCACTTTATTTTAACGATTGTATGATATTTGACAACTGTCAACTAACTTAAAACTAACTTCAGCCCGTGACTAAAAACCTGTTGCTAACTTCGGCCCGTGACTAAAGCGCCACAACTTGTCAATGTGTATTTAAAAGGTCACTTAGTGTCATGGAAACATGTACGATAAAGGGCGTTTTAAAGGTAGTAGTAGAAAAAGAAAGTTATAAATCAATTGATTTCAAGTATTCAGTTTTTCAATCAGAAAATATTTTATTATCTCAATACAAAAATATAAAAGTATTAAATAGTTTCTCAACGCCAATATTTGAAAAGTTTATATGAACATTGTACTGACCTTTTAATTTCGCCGGCAGTAAACTATAACTTAAATTCGGGCACGGACTCTACTGTAAAGTCCTCATAAAACATTTCCTTTACTTTCACTGTGAAAAATTGTAAATTGTCAAGATACATTTCGATTTATAACCTCTATAATTGTGTTTATAAAATGTAAAAATGTGACATTTGACAGTTTCCCCTGGTGTTTCATAGATGGCGCTCTATACAAATTTTTGATTTAAATCATTTTAAGATAATAATAAGTGTTTGTCGTAGAAAAAGTATAGTATGCACCTCGTTTATAAACTTTTCTATACACTCATTAACTTAAGCACTCGCTCGCAAGCTCGCTCGTGCCTAAATTAAATTCGTGTATAAAATGGCGTTTATCAAACTTGATACATAATATACTATTATGTGTATATTTAATAATACGTTTTAAAAATGTATCACTCTTATAATGTAATAAACACATATTTAAGTATATGTAAGATAACCTACAAAATTTTTACTGTCATTTAAAATTTGCTATGTTGCCAAATTGGTTCAAACTTAAATCAGTGGATATGCGTAAATCAATTGATATAAATAAATCAACGTTTCTGCAACTTCCAACTTGGTAACTCTATTTCCTCTTCTTTTTGATAGATAAAAACCTTCATTATGGTCTACTATTGCTGTGTTAGGGGGTGCTCAGCTATAAATTCAAATATCATGATGCATTTATTTCCAAATGATGATAAGGTTTGTCCTTCAACTTTTTGAAACGCTCATACTCATCAAATTTTGTCCCTTAGAAATTTCTCGAATGGATAGTTTTCCTAAAAAGAGAGGACTTGTTGCCGAGAGGAAAATTTAATATTCGCCGAAGCTATAAAGTGTGCGACAAACATTTTTCAGATAAATGTAAATTTCCAACCAATAGAAACAAAACAAATTTAAAGGCCGGGTGCATACCAGACATTCTTTTACCAGGTGGGTGGTTTATGATTTTGGATTAAGCTCGAAATTAGGTTATATAAGAGTTTAACAAAGTTTTATAGTGGTCATATAAGGTTACTGTAAAGTCTAGGTATATAATTGTTTCTACAAACATTTTATATAACCTTTAGTAACCGTTACAGTAGATTTATAAAGGAGTTTTATAAAGTTTGCGGTTACCTGTTTTGTAAATTTATTGTGTTTTTATTTTATTTAAATAAAAATTGTGAGTTATACATATATATGTATAATTTTGAAACTCTTATATATACAGTGTGACCCATTTGTTTTCGACTCACCCCTTTACGTAAAATCTTTATTTATTGTGCGATTTTAACCGGATTTGTTTTAAACTGTAGATCTTGATAAACTGTATTTTTAGAGCAAAAGACGCCATACTAATACAAAAACAAGGCCTACTATGTCAGTTTTAAGAGTAAATTTTTAAGAATTCATATTAGCGATTTTTTTAAACAAAATATAAGCACGGCACTGGATTCACCACCCCTCAAAACTATCCTATACTAAATTTTATTGAAAAATTTTTAGAAAAAAAATGCACAAACATAAATACAAAAATTTATTTTGTCAAGTTATCCATGAAAAAAACATTGAAATAAAATTAAACTTATAGTAATAGTACCATGTTAATATTAGTTTAATTTTATTTCAATGTTTTTTCATGGATAACTTGACAAAATTAATTTTAGTAGTTATTAGGTATTCTGCATTTTTTTTCTTAAATTTTTTTAATAAAATTTAGTTTAGGGTAGTTTTGAGGGGTGGTGAATCCAGTGCCGTGCTTAGATTTTGTTTAAAAAAATCGCTAATATGAATTCTTAAAAATTTACTCTTAAAAACTGACATAGTAGGCCTTGTATTTTGTAAAAATATGTCGTTTTTTGCTTCAAAAATACAGTTTATCAATAAATAAAGATTTTACAGGGGTGAGTCGCAAACAAATGGGTCACACTGTATATAAGAGTTTCAAAATTGTATAATAACACTTTAAGAAACTTGGATAGTCCTATAAAACTGAACTAGTAACTTATTAAAATAAGTAAAAAAGCAGTTCTTTAGAAAGTTATATAGTAGTTTCCATAATATTCCTGTTTTCTCTAGTTATAAAACTTGGTTTTATAGTGCACTGATAACCTTCATAAACTCCCCAAATAAGCTCTTTAAGGGGTATATAAGAGTGATATAAATATTTCTGTAACCAAATTAAGAATTTTATATATTCCTCTCACTAGCATGTAACCAATAAACTCGTCCGAACTAAAGAAACTAACTACTCTGTGGTAAAACAAAATATTTTCAGACAAAGCAGCTGACGAGATCATAGTTCCGCAGCCAATTTCTATCAAAGTAGAACTAGAAGAAGCCTGTGAAAGCCACATGGACTATGATGACACTAGTGAAGTTTTAAGTGATAATTTTGCATCTGAAAAAGAAACCGACAAAGACATTATTGTGGGGGAATCTGTGGTAGTGAAAGACGAGGAGCCCACTGAAATTATTGAAAAGGAATTCGCCGAACAGTGTTTAGATTACGCGATAAAATATTTCCAACAATGTACTGAATGTAATGTTGCCGAGGAAATTATTTTTTTGGAGAAATTGAAAGAGAAGTGTCCACATTTGAAATGACTACTGGTATTAGGGACGAGTTAAGAATATTGTAATTTTACTGTAAATAAAAATAATTTTTTAGATCTTTTCTTTACCTACACAGATATACTCAACCTACCAGCATTTTACATTTCTCAGAAAATTTCATTCTTATAGAATTTGTGAAACATTATTTTGATTGTGGTTAATTTGCAATTTTTCTTTTTCAACAAATTTTCGAGTGATTATTTCCATCATTATAATATGAAACAATCAAATGCCTTGAATTTTTGAATAAATTTCGTTTAAATAAGCGATTAAATCACTAGAACTATTCAACAGCGATTAAATTTTAGCCTCCATATTGGATTTTTGTTTACGATTTTATGGTGTTATTTACAAGTTTTAACAAACATTTTTTAAAAAACAATAAAAAATAAGTTATCTAGTTTACGAAATATCAATTATTACTTATTACATACCTTAAATTAATGGAATTTTCTTTAAAAAAATATTTATAAATTTTGACACATACGTCAGATTTTATGAATTGTCAAATAGTTTCCTTTATTCGAGAAATAATCTAGACGTATATCACTCAACCTATAAATTTAATCTGTCAAACTATGCTCAGTAAGTTTTTTATTTGATTTTTCTTTTTGAAAAATAGTTTCATGCAAAATAATTAAAAATAAAACCCCTCGACCGCTATGCGGTCTCGATATTTTATTAAATTGTTTTGCATTCAACATTTTCCAACAAAAACCAAACAAAAAACTACTGAGCCTAGTTTAACCGATTAAATTCATAATTCTCGTGATAGGTATAATATATGAATATTTTTTAAAAGAAAAACCTACAATATATCATATACTTACCAGTAAGTATATGCAATATATTATTTGCAACGCCATCTTTTTAAATGTGGCTGAACTAGAAAAGAACAATTTTTGGTAGCGTCATTAGTATAGCTTTTATTGAATAGATGGCGCTGCTCAAATTTTAAAATATTTTAGACAGGCAACCCAGTATACGTATTTGTCACAACAAAAATTTTTAGAAGTAATGTAGACATTTTGGGCAATAATCTACATTCATTAAAAAATTACATTTGTGTTATCATTGATTACTTTGTTGATAATTTTTTTTTGATCGCTCGTGCGTAACTAAACAAATTTAAAAACTGGCGGCTGACAGTTGGCGACACTGCGTAGCATTTAAAAAACATAACCTCACTTTTAAAAAGTTTTATTCGCTGTTTATTTTCGTTCTGGCCAAATAGCTTTTAATAAAGCTAAAGGCCATTAACCTCTTAATACAGAGATACTCTGTAATCAGATTTATTGAATTGAATTGTTTATTTGTGTTTTTGTTGCAAATAATGGCAGAAGAAAGCGAAAGAGAAACATTTTCAAGATTTAAATATATATCAGAGTCTACCTCAGCTTTTCAGCGCGACGTAGAACAGTTGCTTAATACGTTTGGGGCCTTAAAAAGTTTAAAATTTGCTGATTTTGCCGAAGTGTGGAAAGAAATGAATTTTGTGAATGTATTCAGGTAAAATTTATTATTTAATAGCGTTTAAACAAAGTTTGATGTTAAATGTTGTAGTGGTTTACAATATGTTCAATATATTAATGATATCACAGAAAATATGTTTTTTGTTGTCAAAAAATACGTGTATTTTCCACAAAGTATATTTACTCAAGTGGGGGCAATGTATCTGCTGTACAGTTTGTATTATAACCAACCTTTAAAAGGGTTGGTGAAGATTCGTTTAACCCTAGATGAATATAATAGAATTATACACTGCATCGAAACTTTAAAGGCAAAAAATGAACTCGACATGCCCTACATATTTGCCAAGTTAAAAGTAAACAATGCATTTATATTCGTCGCCGAAAGAAAGGTTCTAGGACCTGAAGAAAGGTTCATAAAAAACCATGATTATTTCATTGATAACACATTTCAAGACCAAAAATCGGAAAGTGCCTTAAAAAAATTACAAACCATCATACACTGCGAACATGTGGATAATTTAAAGGATTTACAAAGTCAATATGAAAAGGAACTAAAAAGATTTGCAAGTATGTTTTAATTGTATTCTTATTAGTTGAATATTTAAGTTGTGTTTTTTAGGAAAAAATGCATCATTCTCAAACTTCCACTCAACCATACTGGATGATATTGAAGCTGCAAAAGAAAAAATTCAAACGACTGCATCTAAAAGTACAGAGCAAGAAGATCATTTAAGGAAAATTAAAAAGAAAGCATTTGCAGCAAAAAATGCTGTTTATAGAGGATCAAAAAGTTGCATTACCGCTATAAAACTTGAAAAACCCGACTTATAAGTAGAGGTATTTGTACACGGGAAAATATTCACTTAAATGAACATTTTCACTTAAATGAACATTTTCACTTAAATGAACATTTTAAAAATCTAATGATGTGTTCAGATTTATGGGAAGTTTAATAAAAAACCAATGGATTGTATAATAAAGTGTCAAGAAAATGTTCACTATAAATGATGTAACAAATATAGCTGATGACAGCACTCAATTATACAGGGTGCTCCAGTTTATATAATAAGAATTTCTGAAAAATGTCTGGATTTTGTATTTTAATACACAGGGTTTCCTAAACATGGCACACCAACTGTATACCATGCTAAAAATGTTGGTTATTTAAAATATAATATAAAAACAGAACTGAATTTTATTTTTGTTATTTTAATGTTGTAAGACTTTTTAGATATTCTTTATTATACCTTCCTAGGTAGAAACATTTCCATCATCCATCCATGATTTTAATTATCCTATGCTATGTTTTTTTAAATGTTTTATATTTTTAAAATTCTGGATATTAGAAGATTTAGGGTTTTCCATTTAAAATTAGATATTCTTTAGGATACCTTCTTAGGAAGAAAAATTGCTATCATCCATCCCTGATGTTAATTTTCCTATGCTATCAATTTTAAATGTTTTATATTTTCAAAATTCTGGATATTAGAAGATTTAGGGTTTTCCATTTAAAATTAGATATTCTTTAGGATACCTTCTTAGGAAGAAACATTGCTATCATCCATCCCTGATGTTAATTTTCCTATGCTATCAATTTTAAATGTTTTATATTTTCAAAATTCTGGATATTAGAAGATTTAGGGTTTTCCATTTAAAATTAGATATTCTTTAGGATACCTTCTTAGGAAGAAACATTGCTATCATCCATCCCTGATGTTAATTTTCCTATGCTATCTATTTTAAATTTTTTATATTTTAAATATTCTGGATATTAGAAGATTTAAGGTTTTCAATTTAAAATTAGATATTCTTTAGTATACCTTCTTAGGAAGAAACATTGCTATCATCCATCTCTGATGTTAATTTTCCTATGCTATCTATTTTAAATGTTTTATATTTTAAAAATTCTGGATATTAGAATATTTAGGGTTTTCCATTTAAAATAAGATATTCTTTGGGATACCTTCTTAGGAAGAAACAATGCCATCATCCATCCCTGATGTTAATTTTCCTATGCTATTTATTTTAAATGTTTTATATTTTCAAAATTCTCGATATTAGAAGATTTAGGGCTTCTCATTGAAAATTAGAAATTCTTTAGGATGCCTTTTTAGGAAGAAACATTGCCATCATCCATTCCTCATGTTAATTTTCCTATGCTATCTATTTTAAATGTTTTATATTTTCAAAATTTTCGATATTAGAAGATTTAGGGCTTTTCATTGAAAATTAGAAATTCTTTAGGATGCCTTCTTAGGAAGAAACATTGCCATCATCCATTCCTCATCTTAATTTTTCTATGCTATCTATTTTAAATGTTTTATATTTTCAAAATTCTGAATATTAGAAGAATTAGGGCTTTTCATTGAAAATTAAAAATTCTTTAGGATGCCTTCTTAGGAAGAAACATTGCCATCATCCATCCCTGATGTTAATTTTCCTATGCTATCTATTTTAAATGTTTTATATTTTGAAAATTCTCGATATTAGAAGATTTAGGGCTTTTCATTGAAAATTAGAAATTCTTTAGAATGCCTTCTTAGGAAGAAACATTGCCATCATCCATTTCTCATGTTAGTTTTCCTATGCTATCTATTTTAAATGTTTTATATTTTCAAAATTCTAGATATCGGTGCAAGGATCTAAACGCCATCAAGTCGTTTAGCGAGTCCAGGAACAGCACCAGCATCAACGTCAGCTTGTCCAACGACGGCATAAGGTAAGTTTTTGCGAAATCTACAAAAAATGCGCTTCAATTTGATGCATTACACGTAAAACTCGATTTATAAACAAAAAAGTAATTCGCCGTCACACTGTATGACATATTTTTATGAATATCTAGAAACGCATGGAAGTCGCCCATTAACTTGCATATATTTTCTGATACTACACAAAATAACTTTAATTTGATGTATAATTTATTAAAATCCCTTTACAAATAAAGAAGTTACCGGACCTGGTGCGCAATTGAATTTTTTAAATGTGTTTTTAGAGCAATTCCAGAGGATAGAAACATCGTCCAAGAACCGATCCACATCCTTCTATTGGTGTATAATCATAAAAGTTATTTTTGACGTTATTTTCAATCTTGTTAAATATCTAGGAACGCATGGAAGTCGCCTAATATGTGTGACTATTTTCGTAAATTAGATAAATTTGTCTTTAATTTGACATATAATTCAGTTCAATCGCACTCAAATTAAAAAAGTTGCGAGACCTGGTGCACGCATAATTTTTTTTGTCATATTTTGTTAAATATCTAGAAACGCATGGAAGTCGCATACCAACATGTATATATTTTTGCAAACTAGATTAAATGGGCGTTATTTTGGTATTCACTTGATCAAAATCGAATGACATATAAAAAAGTTATGGACCTGGTTTTTCAAAACAAAATGCAGATTTTTGAGGTAGTCTTTACTTTGTAGGACTTTATCCCATGGAGGAGATCCAGAACGCTTCTGAATGTCCACTCGGTCAAGAAAGATTCCTACATCAGTCAAATTGGGACATCAATGGAGGTACGTTTGATCTTTTGCTAATTTTTACAGGTTTTATTAAGTTATTTTTTTCAGGATTGTCCCGATATCGCTTTGGAGGCCGTGGTTGCCATTCTGGAGAAGCTCAAGAGAATCAAAAGTGATAAAAACTTTGAGTCAGTTAGGGCAACTCGACAAGTGAAAATCACCAAATATCCTGTTTTTTATCGTTATGTTTTTGTTATGTACTTTTTTGACTACATAAACAATAATTTAGGTATAGCGAGATGTATATGAAAAAGATGTATTTTTTTAAATGCAGTCACGAAAAAATGTTTATTTGTAATTTATTTTTATGTGTAAAGTGTAGGTAATTTGTTAAACTCAGAATGGTACAACTGTTATATTATTAAATTGGTTAAAGGAATTTTTAAATCTTAATAAATATTTACAATACATTCTTATGGTTTTATTTTTTTCCCTTGATTACGATACTAAAAGGAAATCTGACAGCGCTGTAAAATGCGATGTTTCTAGATTCTAAAATCCCTGGGACTTTTTAAAATTTATTAAAATTTTCAACCATTTCTTTAAATTTTGAAATTGTCGAATTTGTATTAGGATAGCAGAAACGCGAGGAGGTATACTCCTGATACAATGCGATGTTGCCAGATTTCCAAAAAATCCCAGATTCTGGGTACTTTTTTAAAATTTCTTAAAAATTTCAGCCATTTCTTAAAATTTTGAAATTTTCGAATTTGTATTAGGATAGCAGAAACGCGAGGAGGTATACTCCTGATTCAATGCGATGTTGCCAGATTTCCGAAAAATCCCAGATTCTGGTACTTTTTTAAAATATCTTAAAAATTTTAACCAATGTTTAAAATTTTGAAATTTTCGAATTTGTATTAGGATAGCAGAAACGCGAGGAGGTATTCTCCTGATACAATGCGATGTTGCCAGATTTCCAAAAAATCCTAGATTCTGGGTACTTTTTTAAAATTTCTTAAAAATTTGAACCATTTCTTAAAATTTTGAAATTTTCGATTTTGTATTAGGATAGCAGAAACGCGAGGAGGTGTACTCCTGATACAATGCGATATTGCCAGATTTCCAAAAAATCCTAGATTCTGGGTACTTTTTTAAAATTTCTTAAAAATTTGAACCATTTCTTAAAATTTTGAAATTTTCGATTTTGTATTGGGATAGCAGAAACGCGAGGAGGTATACTCCTGATACATTGCGATATTGCCAGATTTCCGAAAAATCCCAGATTCTGGGTACTTTTTAAAAATTTCTTAAAAATTTCAACCATTTCTTAAAATGTTGAAATTTTCGAATTTGTATTAGGATAGCAGAAACGCGAGGAGGTATACTCCTGATACAATGCGATGTTGCCAGATTTCCGAAAAACCCCAGATCCTGGTACTTTTTTAAAATTTCTTAAAAATTTCAACAACCATTTTTTAAAATTTTGAAATTTTCGATTTTGTATTAGGATAGCAGAAACGCGAGGAGGTATACTCCTGATACAATGCGATGTTGACAGATTTCTGAAAAATCCCAGAACCTGGTACTTTTTTTTAAAATTCTTTAAAATTTCAACCATTTCTTTAAATTTTGAATTTGTATTAGGATAGCAGAAACTCGAGGAGGTATACTCCTGATAAAATGCGATGTTGACAGATTTCCAAAAAATCCCAGATTCTGGGTACTTTTTAAAAATTTAAACAATTTCTTACAATTTTGAAACTTTCGAGTTTGTATTAGGATAGCAGAAACGCGAGGAGGTATACTCCTGATACAATGCGATGTTGACAGATTTCTGAAAAACCCCAGATCCTGGTACTTTTTTAAAATTTCTTAAAAATTTAAACAATTTCTTAAAATTTTGAAACTTTCGAATTTGTATTAGGATAGCAGAAACGCGAGGAGGTATACTCCTGATACAATGCGATGTTGCAAGATTTCTGAAAAATTACATATCCTGGTACTTTTTTTTTAAATTTATTAAAATTTTCAACCATTTCTTAAAATTTTGCAATTTTTTGAATTTGTATTTGGATAGCAGAAACGCGAGGAGGTATACTCCTGATACAATGAGATGTTGCCAGATTTCTGAAAAATCCCAGATCCTGGTACTTTTTTTAAATTTCTTATAAATTTAAACCTTTGCTCACCCAGAATATATACATATAGAAACTTATCTAATACATCAAAAAATAAATTGTCAGATTTTAATTTGTAATTAAATTTATTTTAGTAATTTTTATGAGCGATAATAGTTTCCAGTCGATTTTTGATTTTGGTATGTCATTAAAAGTAAAACGGCGTGCCATACATAATAGGCATACCCACTGTATTTAAAATTATAGAAGTATTAGATAAATTATATTGTTGAGTAAGTATATGTAGGTAGGTACTTGAAAATGGCCCAGTTCCCAATTATTATACAAATAAAACTCTCCAAATACAATTAATGTAGTTAAAATAAAACATATTTTAAGTAACAAATTACTACTTTATTACAAGTTAAAGTATCACTAAAAACTAAAAACAACAATATAAATTGTTACTTAAAAATTAATTTTTATTAATGTTTATTACAAAGGATCAATTGTTAATATTTTCTAAATCAATTGTAGAACAGGTTAATTCATTCAACGGGTGATTTATAATATAGAATCAAATCCAAATTTTTATTAACTTTTAGGAGACTTTTTAACATGGAGTACTTACTCCACAAAGAATTTGGTTGATATGATTTTCTTGAATCCGCAAAATAGGCTAGAAACACTTCTTCCTTAAAACTTTTTGTCCCTTTGTTGTTGCACCAGTTTTCAAAATGTTTAAATTGTTTCTCGTATTTTTGACAGGATTTCGCTGGTAATAAATTCTCATTTACAGTATTTGCTGCCTCCAGGATGTCATATGGTAGCTCTTCTTTCCATAAAAATGCAAATTATAGTAAAAAACAATGTAATACATTTTATTTATTAATTAATATTTGTTTTATTTTTCCACTTGATGTTAATTAAATTTGTTTTATTTTAATTAAGTTGATAAGGTATCTTTGGTATGATATCATATATCAATAGGAATTATATTTCATTAGATAAGTAAATGTAATCAATATCAATAAATTATTTTGTGCAAGGGACACATTTTATTGAAGGTAAGCTTAAGATTTATTTAATAGGGATTTTGATTTTTGATTTATTATCAAAATATAAATATACAGAGTGTTTCACATTCGTGGTCCAATAGAAGTTTTTGGGGAACGGTAAAAGATATCGATTTGAAATTAACAAAGCGTTTATAATAAATTGAAGTAAATTTTTATAAAATATTTTAAATAAAACACCCCATATATTAAGTAAAATTACTATTACTAAAGTAGTAAGTCGGTAATATAGATCTACTTTATTTTGGGTCCAATATAGGACAAAAAAGTTCGCACGTTACTTTGGTGGGAAGATTTTTGTTTTTTTGTTAAGAGCAGGGCTATATTTAAATTACAATAAAAAATATTTCTAAAAAGTGTACAGATCAGTGTGTGACATAAATGTGTTCCTCATGGTTTAAACATTGTCACTTTAATGCGTTTTAATTTCAATTCTGAAAACAAACGGTAAAATGGCCAGTGTCCAATTACTGGTTGGTAAAAAATGTAAATTTCTATTATTGGACATATGTCCAATATCACACTCTATTTGTATCCCGGACATATCCCAGTCAATTCTTATGTAAATTGTCCCCTGCATCCGAAAAGACCGTCAAAAACTATAAAAGTTAAGCAGTTTTTGAGATATAGTAAATTCCATATTATATGTAAAATTGATTATATTTTAAAAACTGTTCTACTTTTATAACTTTTGACGACATTTTCGAATTCAGCGAATAATATTTCATAGGAAATGACTGCTAAATGTCCTGGATACAAATTGCTGTTGACGAGAATTTTTAGTGGCTGCTTTTTCGCTATGACATTTTTGACTAATTCATTTTTAGAGAGTAAGTAATATAATGATTTCTTCGTCACAGGACATCTTGCAGAATAACAGTGATTTAAATACAGTGAATGATAGACTCTATCTATCAGATAGAGAACATAAAAAAGTAATGGCAACAAAATTAATAAATTCGGAAAATACTTTTAACATACCACCCGAAAAAATATTAGATATATATATAAATCATCCTGTTCCGGCCTAAACATTATAAATGCTTCACAAACTAGAGATACCACACTTAATGATATTTGCAACAAAGTATTTCAGAAGTCAGACCAAGGAATTAGTAGTTACCTTCAGAATCCAGAAAAGGGATGAGGAATCCGAGAAAGAAATATATGAATTATATATAATATAATAATTATATATGTGATATTTACAAAAACGAAATAAAAAAAATTACCTAAAACAGCAATGTTTTTATAAAACTATAATAAAACTAAAATCTTTAAATCAACGGCATATATAAATTTTAAATAAATAATATTCCTTAAGTGTCCAATAACTATAGTGTGTATATAATATATTATATACACATATGTGCTTTACCCTAGTTTTCGAGTTTTTTTTTGTTAAAACCTTCTTTACTTTGGTAGTTTAGGAGTTGAATTTCCATAATCAATGGCCAAAAAGGATGGTGTGAAACCAAAAGACCTCCAACAAGCTCAAAAAGAAGTAGAAGCCGTGGTAAACATAATGCGTGAAAATGTGGACAAATTGCACCAAAGGGAAATCGATCTGGCAACATTGGATAGAACTGCAGAATCTGTAAAAGTAAGAACTCAAATTCTGTACATTTTTTCTTGGTCTTTTTGAAGCATTTTTATTTATTTTTAAACCCTAATTTTAATATATTTTTAAATTTTTTAGGAATATGGGGAGCTATGGAAAAACTATACCCGACATGTAAAAAAAAGAGTTTGGTGGAAAAATGTCAAATTTTTGTCCGCCATTGCCTGCGCAGCGTTGGTTATTGTCATCATTACTTTAGGTACATACAGTTTCCATGACATTAAGAGACCTTTTAAATACACATTGACAAGTTGTGGCTTTATGGCGGTTTAGTCACGGGCTGAAGTTAGCAACAGGTTTTTAGTCACGGGCTGAAGTTAGTTTTAAGTTAGTTGACAGTTGTCAAATGTCATACAATCGTTGAAATAAATTGCCTTTCTTGTAAAATAATACTAAAAGTAAAAATTATTTTATTATCTCAATACAAAAATACAAAAGTATTAAATAGTTTCTCAACGCCAATATTTGAGAAGTTTATATGAACATTGTACTGACCTTTTAATTTCGCCGGCAGTAAGCTATAACTTAAATTCGGGCACGGACTCCACTGTAAAGTGCTCATAAAACATTTTCGTTACTTTCACTGTGAAAAACTGTCAATTTTCAAGAAATACATTTCGATTTGTAACCTTTATAATTGTGTTTATAAAATTTAAAAAATTGACATTTGACGGTGACACACAGATTCCCCTATTGTTTTATAGATGGCGCTCTATACAAACTTTTGATTTAAATCATTTTAAGATAATAAATAATAAGTATTTGTCGTAGAAAAAGTATAGTATGCATTTTGTTTATAAACTTTTCTATACACTCATTAATTTAAGCACTCGCTCGCAAGCTCGTTCGTGCCTAAATTAAATTCGTGTATAAAATGGCGTTTATCAAACTTGATACATAATATACTATTTTAACTAGGAATTTTGACAACTCAACTTGACATCTTAGAGTATATAAGTAAATATAAAACATGTAATACCTTAAAGCATACAATCCGTGGCAAATGTCAAATTTGTAAATTTTGAATGTATTTTTTTAACTTTGTAAATTTTGCAAGTTTGTCCTACCATTTTTTAATTTTTATTTTTTAGGAACCCTTACATTTTATTTTATTGGCGACGATGGTTCTTCCAGTACTTCTAAAAACAACCAAACAAGAAACGAAGTAGTTCAAATAATTTATAACTATAAAACGGGATCCCAAAAAAATTACGTGTGAAATTTAAAATGTTGGCTATGTGTATGTAGAGATGCGCCATGAAAAAAAACTTTTTGTTGTTGTGTTTTTAACTTTATTTTATTAATTCATTTGACGTATTAATTTACAATAAATTACGCAAGTCAAAAACTTTTAAGGCCATAAAAAATCGAGCAAAATTAAAAAAGTGAGGATTTATTATTAAACAGGTTTACTTTGAGGGAAAATCAGTGAAATCTGGTTTAAAATTGTTCACCCTAAATTTGTCGCACAGTGTGGTAAATAATTATATAAATGTAAAATAAATGTTTATTAGAGATGCATTTTTTATTTAAATCCTTAAGAAAACATTTTTAAATATGAAGAACATTTTTCGTTGAAGGTTTTAAAAATTAAATTTTTGACTGCAAAAGTTGGACAACTTGATGTCATCAGTCAATAGAGTAGGTATTTTAATATTTTTTGTAAATATTTTAGTATATTACAAAAGATCCAGGTTTTTTAACTTGTCCACCCAATTTTAATGTATTTTTTCAAAAGCACGTTTGTAGAAAAACATAATAAATATTCAAAACATCAGTACCTTGGCGTGTCACAACTCCTGAATCAAATATTTTAGTGATTTGATTTTAAAATATACCTATTCAATTTATCTTAAATTTTTCAATTTCACTACAAACTATAAAACATTAAATAATGTATTTTTCATATTTTATCATAGATTCGAATAATAGCAATTTTTAAAAAATTGATAATCTTTGTTCTCACTTTTACCCGTCAGTTCTGTGTCCAATGTTAAAATTCAAAAACGTCAAGTCCTCGTTTTAACTCAAGTGTTGGTAAAACATTACCTGCAGAGCCCGCCCTTTGCACAACAGTCATCTTGAAAACAATGCAAGCGGCGAAGTTGTGCTGAATGCACGTATAGTTCCAGTCAAAATTTCAGTACTGTGGAGAGTAGTTATTTTCTTACGTATATATACATATATCTTTCTAATTTATATAAGGCTATATGTGATTTGTTGATAAGTAGCATCTCCTAATAAAAAATATCAGTAAAATACTTAATTCCGAATTGTAATCTCAAATTTGTCCCATTCATCAGTACCGTGTCGTCAGTTCAATGTTCGATGTTTCGGTTATCTTTTTTTCTCAAACTTCAATTTAAATTCTGCTTGCGCAGAACTTGTTTATTTAATGTCATTATAAACTCATATAAATTTGGTGTGGGTCTCATATCTAATAATTGAGATATCGGTATACCCAAAATCCACCAGCCGCCACTGATGTGTGGTATTATTTGATTTTAAGGTATTTAATGTATAATATGCTCAAAGTTGCAATAAATCTTATATTTTCCAATAAATTATGTATTTAATTAGTACCTTGGTATACTCGTCACTTCCCTTGCATTCAAATTTAGAAAACACAGATATTTCAGAAACTGTTTGAAAAAGTGACTGGCCCGGTCTGGAACAGTATATATTTATTATATTATCTATGTTCTCATAACAAAATACTAGAATCACCCTATAAACATTATTTTATTATCTCAATAGGAAAGTATTAATTCTATTGTTTTATAGATTCAAATATTTAATTTAAATCACTTTTAGATTTCGTAGAAAAAAAACTCGTTTATAAACTTTTCTAGACACTTATTTAATTAAACGCTCGCTCGTGCCTAATTTAAATTCGTTACTAAAATGGCGCTTATCAAACTTGTTACACAATATATTATTTTTAAATAAAAAAAAAACAAATAATTATAATATTTTCTTCTTAATAGTTTACCTAAACGCTCTGTATGATAAGAAAGAAAATCAATAGGGAAATACGCAGTTAACCTGCGCGCTACTGAAATGTCACAAACCATGTGAGAATTAACTAAGTGGAAATTCTCTGAATGTTATTTTAGACAAACCTTGAAGTTAAATAAACTTGTCATTTGTTTATACAAATTTTAATAAATTTGGGTGAGTAAGATGATTGTCAATTAATAAAAAAAAACTAATTTAAGTTTTCTTGTTTATTTTGAATTTTTTATAAGTAGGTGCAACATGTAAAAATAATTTAAAGCTAATTTTTTGTCGTCCTGCATTAGTAACTGCTTGTATTTTTAAATAATTTTTAAGACATTTTAAGAAAACCTTTTTTATTATTATTTCTTTGAGTTTTTAGACACTGTCGTCAAAAATTTAGTAAGTAATTGCTATAGAAAGTTCATTTAGGAATATTCCTGTTAAGCATATTTAGTTCAGTTACCTATATAATAGTAAAATATACCATAAAGGTATATAGCTATACTTAAGTACCTAATTAGTAATTAGTATTAAATACTAATAAAAAACACAATCCAAAATATGTTTTTATAGTTATTTGTCAAATTAAAACAATATTCGATAACAAAAATACTTTTACCATAGGTATTTTATTTTATGTTAAGAATAAATATTTATTAATTTGTATACCGATTTTTTATTTCTGAATTAACATTTTTTTGTATAATAATCCTAACTATCTTCAACTTCAATCTAATCTGACTTATCCCACAAAATTTTCCAATTTTACTTTTTATTAAATAATGTCATACAACTTATGGTTTAGAGGTGAAATTGTTTATTTAATATTTTTAAATAAATATATATTAATATGTCGCAAAATTTTTTAAGGGGACGACAAGTACATTTCACTGCCATACTATGACAGTGAGGCGTATTTGTCGTCTCCTGAAAAATTTTACGAATGTAGAATACAACATATTAGAACGTGGGTATCTGACATATTTGGAAATATTCTCAAAAGCTTCCTAGAAGCTCCATAAGAAACCTTCTAAGAACATTCCAAAAACGTATTCTTAAAATGTTCTTAGGATGCTTTTTAGGAAGGTTTTAAGAAGATTTTAAGAATCTAATTGCATCATTAAAAGGGTATCTATTGAATGTTTTAAAAGTCCCTAAGAACATTCTTAGCAATGAGGGAAGGTTCTAAGAATATTTCATTATTCCGGGTCATATCTTCTTAGAAGATTCTTAAAATCAAATTTTGCTATCAGGGTGGATACCCTGAAAAAAACAATCAAGGAACAATTGAAACAAATGGTTTATAAATAAAAGGTTTAGCCCAACGTGTTCTTTAGCCTATTACTGATAAGAAACATTTTTGAAGGTCACATATCTCCACTATGGCAGAAGGAACATACGAATATGAATGCATGAGGGCAGAACTACTTGGCGTTGATAAACCAGACTATGAAGAATTTTTGAAGAAACAAGAAGAAAACGAAAAAAACAAAGTCGAGGAGGAAGAACAAGACTTACAAGCTCTTCAGGTAATGAACAAAAAAATAAATCTTTTTGAAAAAGCTTTACAGATTATTTTCTTCATTTTATTGAATTATATAAAATTTAATATTGATTATTTCCCTCATTATAATATGAACCAATCAAAAGCCTTGAATTTTCGAATAAATTTCGTTTAAATAAGCGATTAAATCACTAGAACTATTTAACAGCGATTAAATTTTAGCCTCCATATTGGATTTTTGTTTACGATTTTATGGTGTTATTTACAAGTTTTAACAAACATTTTTTAAAAAGCAATAAAAAATAAGTTATCTAGTTTACGAAATATCAATTATTACTTATTACATACCTTAAATTAATGGAATTTACTTTAAAAAAATATTTATAAACTTTGACACATACGTCAGATTTTATGAATTGTCAAATAGTTTCCTTTAATTCGAGAAATATTCTAGACGTATATCACTCAACCTATAAATTTAATCTGTCAAACTATGCTCAGTAAGTTTTTTATTTGATTTTTCTTTTTGGAAAATAGTTTCATGCAAAATAATTAAAAATAAATGATTTTATTAAATTATTTTGCATTCAACATTTTCCAACAAAAATCAAACAAAAAACTACTGAGCCTAGTTTAACCGATTAAATTCATAGTTCTCGTGATATAATATATGAATATTGATTTTTATTTTAAACATTAAGTATTAAAATTAAATTATATATTGAATAATAAACAATAAATATTGAACATTGAAGAAATTGAAAGTTTTAAAAAATTCTGGCTCCTTCTTTGTTTTTTGTTGCTTTTGTATTCCGTTTCTCGTATGCTGGTGAAAACGTTCTCCGTGCTCATCACTTACGTCACCCAGATTGTGCGGGTTATTAACGCACTCGAACTCTCTACTTCTTTTGCTCATTTTACACTTTTTATTAACTAAATAAAACTATGATAAAACCTTGTTGAAATATCAAAAAATATCACTATGCCAACACGAGAAACAAAAGAATTCACGTCATGTCAAATTTAAATTTTGAATAATGTTTTCGGTGAAAAAAGAACGGAAAAACTCAAAAAATTTCAATCATGCAGTTTATTTAGGTTTTCATTAAAGAATAAACATATTACAAAATAAAATAAAAATCGTCAAAAAGCTCAATTTTGGTCTTCCACTAAAAAATTCATAACTTCGCCATTTTTCCATGTATTTTTATCAACATTAGCTTGTTTTTTTTTTGTAAAAATGTCAGCTTCACAAAAAAATAATCAAACTGGAATTATCTGTTTGATTTAAACCTTTCCCAGGACGATATGTAAATTTTCGACCTCAATTTTTGCCATAAAAACGAATTTTTTAAATTATTAAAATCGTAAAAATGGTAAAAAGTATGTAAAAGAAAGTTTTAGAGGGCTCAAATACCAAAATTAAGCAAGATAGAGACAAAAAGTTGTATTATTAATTGCTTAATCTAAATATAACTTTAACACCCTGTATCTTAAAAACAAAGCTTTAAAGCATACAAGTTTATGTAAACTTTTATTCTTATTTTTAGAGTTTTATTGACTATTCAATTTTTTTTAATACAATTTAATATTGTAGTATAGTAAAATATACCATACTTTTTTAATATATTACTATAGTAGTTCAGTTTAATCAAATGGAAAAAATGTGAAAAAAGTGAAATCTATTTGGCATTAGTAAAATCTTATTATATTTTAGGATGCTGATTCTCAAAATGACAACTTAAAAAATATATCGGGAGGTTTGGAGGAGTTAAACGGTATTTTGGCTGTCACGCAAAGAAAGATTAACAGATTTAAGGTGGGTAAATAAAAAAATTTACATTAAGATAATTTACTTATTTTAAAATTATTTTTATTATATACAGGGTTGGGTTGTCCAATTAAGCCTATTTTTCCAAAATAATTTAAACAAAATGCCACTTCCGGCTTGACTGGAAGTGACATCAACTTTGTTATTTTAAATGTAACACCCCATATTATTTTACATTTTTAAATTCTACATAAAATTTTGAGTAAAATTACTGTACCATGTCCTATACCTAGAGTAAATAGTTTAGGAATCTTAAAACATTGTTTAAAAGATTCCATGTCAATTTCTTAATATACCGGGTGTTACATTTAAAATAAAAAAGTTGTTAACGTTTCAAGTTAGCCCAATTTGCCCTGGGGTTTCTCGGGTAATTTAACCTTTATTTTTAAAATCTGTTAAAATTTTTCAAGGGAGGAAAATCGTGTTGTACTGTGTTATACAGTGTGTACCTATTTTTGTAGTTAATTAATTGAATATTATTTCAACATTTTACATTTACTGATATAAAAATCTTCAGGCTTCATGCGGTTCCCTTACCAACCTACTAAAGATAAAAATGGGTGGGGCTCATCTTGCGAACTCCACCAACGACGTCTCAGTAGATCCAACTTCCTCGTCCAACGTCGAAAACCCGGTGGGGACCGGAAGTAACGTCACAGCAAACGGAGATCGCCCAACAAACGACGAAGTTCGAGAGAATGGTACGCATAGAAAAAGCGACCTGACCAAGGCGTTAGACAACCACGTTGACAGGTTGGATTTGATGCTGGAAAAGGCGGAAAACGCTCAGTACAGCATGAAGCATCAAAATAACCAGATGAAAAGGTTCCTTAATTAAATATCGTTGGTTAAATTGTAACATTTTTTATATTGTTTTTGGTGGCAAATAAACTATCACGTTTCCTGTTGGTCAGATAAAAAAAAGCTAAAACAAAAATTCAATTTAAGTATGAAAAATTGATAAACATACAAGTTGCTCGGTTGAACACCCCCGTTTGTAGTAAACTGCAATAAAAAATAGGGTGTTCCATTGGAAATTTTGTTGTCATTTTTTTGTCTGACCAGTAGAAAAGAATATAAAACGATGCAAACTTTACCCCCTCAAATTTTGACAGATGGACGGACCTATACTAAAGGAACTTAATTTACTAACCTTGCACAAATATGCCCACACTATACAGGGTGTTTTACATTCGTGGTTCATTAGAAGTTTCTGAGGAACGGAAAAAATGTAACTTCCGGTTTAACCGGAAGTGGCATCAACCTTGTTATTTCAAATACAGAATTTAAAAATGTAAAAATATATGGCGTGTTCCATTTGAAATAACAAAGTTGATGTCACTTCCGGTAAAACCGGAAGTGGCATTTTGTTTAAAATATTTTAGAAAAATGGACATAAATGGGTTATAAACGCTTTTCAAATTTCAAATCGATTTTTTTAACGTTCCCCAGAAACATCTAATGTACCACCAATGTGAAACACCCTGTATATAGCAATAAATGTTGTATTTAAATATAATTAATATTTATAAAATTGTATTATATTAATGTTGTATAGTTTTTAGTTATTATGGCACGACTGCAGTCAAATTTGGAAAAAAATATTCCAGTGGAGATTTTGTTTAGGTATTTGTAGAAACTTCGATATTTGGCAACGCCGCTTGGGACTTTTGACACAATTTCAGTGCCATGCATAAACAAAAAATATTCACTAGGATTTTTTCCAAAGTGACTGGGTAAATTGCGGTTGTGAATATTGTAAATGTTTATTAGAAAATTTACCAAAAAAACCTTAAGAACGGTAAAGGTAAAACGTGTGCTTCCGAAACTTAAATCGATTAATTAAGAATAAGTATCGAATACATTGTTTATTTTTTTGTGATTAAAAAACACCAATATTTTAAAAATAAATGTCTGTATTTAACGAGAAATAAACTATTAACGTTAATTGTTTGTTTACTTCAAGAATCAGTAAAAAAATCTTTCTATTTCTATTCTATGTCTATAGTAAGTATTCAGGGTTGCCAATAGTACGGTAATTACGAGGCAAACTCATTACTGTCATTGGGTGTTATCCATAGATCATACATCCCCTTGTATGATCTATGGTGTTATCTTCTTTTAAAGAGTTTCCATAGAATTGATGTAAAATTTAATATAGTATTTCCAAATATTTTCAAATTTTTTTACAAAACAGATTCCAAGAAAATATATTATAGGTACGCCACTGTGTATTTTGTATCTCTGAGATGACCATGAAAAATAAACTATATTACTGCTTAAAAAATAATTATTACAGTTTACATCTATGTATTTTTTATGGGGATCTCAAAAAACCATAATTTAGCACTTTTTAAAATTGTCATTTTAAATTACATACTGCCAACTTAAAAAACACAAAAATATGACAGTTTTAAACCTTTATTTTTAATTTCTATTTTCAAGGGATAAATTTTGTTTTACACAGATTATTTCCCTCATTATAATATGAACCAATCAAAAGCCTTGAATTTTTGAATAAATTTCGTTTAAATAAGCGATTAAATCACTAGAACTATTTAACAGCGATTAAATTTTAGCCTCCATATTGGATTTTTGTTTACGATTTTATGGTGTTATTTACAAGTTTTAACAAACATTTTTTAAAAAACAATAAAAAATAAGTTATCTAGTTTACGAAATATCAATTACCTATTACTTATTACATACCTTAAATTAATGGAATTTTCTTTAAAAAAATATTTATAAATTTTGACACATACATATGTACGTCAGATTTTATGAATTGTCAAATAGTTTTCTTTAATTCGAGAAATAATCTAGACGTATATCACTCAACCATTGAGTATTTACTTATTTTTACTCAATGACTCAACCTATAAATTTAATCTGTCAAACTATGCTCAGTAAGTTTTTTATTTGATTTTTCTTTTTGAAAAATAGTTTCATGCAAAATAATTAAAAATAAAACCCCTCGACCGCTACGCGGTCTCGTGATTTTATTAAATTATTTTGCATTCAACATTTTCCAAGAAAAACCAAACAAAAAACTACTGAGCCTAGTTTAACCGATTAAATTCATAGTTCTCGTGATATAATATATAAAAAAATTAAGATTTTAACGGCGGTAGATTCCCAAGTTAGAAATTCTAACAAGAATTACAATAAATACCACTGTCACTTTTTGTACCTTTAACATTTCCAGTAGAGGTGGGAACTATCGAATGCAAATATCGATGTATCGATAGTTTTCGAATGAAAGCACTATCGATAGTTTTATAAATACTATCGATAGTTTTTGTTAAATATCTTAGACGAAATTTCGAGATTTCCCGACAAATACTGGATTGACAGACAATTCTCTAAACAGCTCATAGAACTAATACTACTATTATTTCTATGCAAGAGCTGTGTGTTATACAAAATTAAATTTTCTTAATATTTTCATGAAGTTATTTTCATATTTCAAAGTATCAATAATTGTTATTTTAATTAAAATAATAACGGGCAATGTTAATGGTGAAAATTACGTCAAAAATATTTATTAAGAAAAAACTAAGTTGGAGTTTAAAAAGTTGGCAACCCTGATTGAAATTTTTTAGGTTATGGGAACGGTGAAAGTGGAAATTTTGACGTAGGCTACGTAGCCGGTAGAAAACGTCAAAGCGTTTCGGCCGTTTGTCATTGTAAATATGTCAGTGAATGTCGTCATTAATTTCGGCAAAAACTACACGTAAACCTAAAGCCGGCGGTACGGTCCTGTGCAGTTTAGGATCCCCCATCGGCCGAACCTGCGCTCTGAATCGCTGCCGAAGTCGCCGGCGCACTCAGTTCGTGACAGACCGCGCAAGTGACCGGTGTAACCCCACGCAAACCTACCAGCGAAATTTAGGGGCTTTTTGTCAGTGCAATCAAAAATCTCGGACCCGGGCTATGGCTTACCTCCGGTCTATACTTAGGCAAGGGCTACAGAAAAAGTACGGACTCAATCTCTACAATTTCAACCTGCAGCAGCAGTCCTTGCTGCCGAAATCGACGGCCGCTCAGACCGTAGTTCAATCGAACCAGGAAGTCTCCAAACAGCCCAAAGATGCCTTGGATATCACTTTCGAGGATGCCAGGGCTGCTTTCAAGAGCAAAACCAACTGGGAGCTCATCAGGGCCTACATCGTCTACACGCTTTGCTCATTCGAGACGCTGGTTGATAATAACATGAAGGTAACAAAATTATTATACTGTCGTAACACATAATCGATTCGATTTTGACACATGATCTCGGTGAATCACGTTTTGCAACCGTCAGGTTGGTATTCTGCCAAAATAAGCCGATTTTTCAAGACCTACTGCGTTTTCTGTACACGTAACATGTCGTCGGTATTTTAACGATTTGCTCGATTTCGCGTAACATAACCTACAATGCGCCTCCGCACCGGCGTTACATAATAATCAAAAGATCAATGGTTTTTAGCAACAATCATCCAATGCAAATTTAAAGGATCAATAAATTAACTTTAATAATTGATTTCATAGGTATTTAAAATACCCAATTTACAAGTTGAAGTTAGCTTTAAGTTAGTTGACAGTTGTCAAATGTCATACAATCGTTAAAATAATGATTTTCTTGTGAAGTTTAGCTCACTAAACGCGAAAATCACACTTAAAATTTTTTTCATGGAACCGTTTTCGAGATATGAATTTTCAATTGTTTTTTTTTAATTTTCTGAGGTGTTTTGGCTTTTTAGAGTATACTTCGAGTTCTAATTGATCGATTTGACCGAACAAGCACTTAAATCAAAGGTAATTGAGCCCTCTACAACTTTCTTTTGTATAGTTTTGGTATCGGCTCAGTAGTTCGATACTGGCGATTTTATGAAGTTGAAAAAGTTTTTACAAAAATCGAGGTCGAAAATTTATACATATATCTTTCTGAAAGATAGAAATAGAAAAGATAAGTCCAGTTTGATTTATTTTAAGTATATATTATACTTAAAGGAAAAAAATAATCTGTTATTGATAAAAATCCATGGATAAATGGCGAAGTTATGAATTTTTCAGTGGAAGAGCAAAATTCAGTTTTTCGAGAATTTTTACGTTTTTTCTTTATTTTATTGAATAATAGTCCATAGCATTTGCCGTTTGCAGAGTCAAGTCAAATTTAAATTTTGAATGTTTTCGGTGAAAAAAGTACGTAAAAAACTCATGCACTTTAATTAGGTTTTCATAAAAGAATAAACATATTACAAAATAAAAGAAAGAAAATAAAATAAAAATCGTCAAAAAGCTGAATTTTGGTCTTCCACTAAAAAATTCATAACTTCGCCATTTTTCCATGTATTTTTATCAACATTAGCTTGTGTTTTTTTTTCGTAAAAATGTCAGCTTGAAAAAAAATTCAAACTGGAGATCTGTTTGATTTAAACCCTTCCCAGGACGATATGTAAGTTTTTCACCTCAGTAATTGCCATAAAAATTTTTAAGTTATTAAAATCGCGTCAAAATACTTATCCGATATCAAAAGTATGTAAAGGAAAGTTTTAGAGGGCTCAAATACCTTCAATTTAAGGGCTTGTTTGACCAAATCGATCAATTAGATTTCAAGCTATACTTAAAAACGTCAAAACATTATTTTTTCGATTTTGTAAACCAATGTTATTATTTAGTTAATATAAACAATAATTTATAATAATGAACAAAAATCTTACAAATAACTAATGACTTGGTAAAAATTGTTTTAATTTTCAATTTTAAAAATCTAACCACTACAAAAACGTTTAGTAGTTTATGTAACCTATTTTCGAGTTTACACTAATTTTATACTTTATGAAACCAATTAGCTTAATTAACTGTAACTTTACACCATAGAGATTTTGTGACGTTAATAAAAAAAAATATGGTTGGTTGTCGCTTGTAATACAATTAAAAAGTTGCGAAAACATATTTTGTTATAAACTTGTAAATCACCTGGTAAATAAATATTTATGTTTTCATTACGGAATATAAATATGTATCACACTTTTTCGCTTGTTTTTTTTATTTCGTATCGCGTTTGTTTCCGATACTACGCTTCTTGATTTATAAGGTTAATGACGTTGTCGATGACGTCAATGACAAACCTCCCGTGATTTTGTCTGGTCAATACCTAATTAGCGTCGGTTCGAGTTTATTTTTAGCTTTTGTGGAAAAATATTCCTTACATTGTTGTTCCAAGTTTAAAAATAAAATATGTAAAAATTGCCAATTGAAGCGGGGTTTTTAGCACTTACTTAACTTTTCGCCCACCCCCACAAGAAAAAATCCAAAGGGTTTAGATCCGGCTATCTTGGCGGCCAAGCGACGGGTTGAAAGAAACTTAACAATTAATAATTTTATCTTTACTAATTGCTGTTAATTAAGCATATCAGTTCACACTGTAATGTCAGAGGTCGTAGATAAGGAAATTACTACTACTACTACTACAGACAGCTTGACGTCCTTATACAAGTGTGCCCCTTGTCAAAACAAATATAAAATAAATCAATGGTAGATAAATTTGTGTGTTTATGTTTGTTCAACACTGACAAGTGCCCATATAACTACTGATTTAAAACATAACTGTTTGTTATCATTTCAATGATAAATAAGTAAAAAGGGAAACACTTTTTGTGTTGGAACTTTGTAATCTATTTTAACACATAATAATAGTATGCATCAAGTTTGATAACCGCCATTTTATACACGAATTAGTGTATAGAAAAGTTTATATACTATACTTTTTCTACGACAAATACTAATTATTATCGTAAAATGATTTAAATCAAAAATTTTTATAGAGCGCCATCTATGAAACAATAGGGGAATCTGTGTGTCACCGTCAAATGTCACATTTTTAATTTTATAAACACAGATTATGAAGGTTATAAATCGAAATGTATTTCTTGAAAATTGACGGTTTTTCACAGTGAAAGTAAAGAAAATGTTTTATGAGGACTTTACAGTGGAGTCCGTGCCCGAATTTAAGTTATAGCTTACTGCCGGCGAAATTAAAAGGTCAATGTTCATATAAACTTTTCAAATATTGGCGTTGAGAAACTATTTAATACTTTTGTATTTTTGTATTGAGATGATAAAATAATTTTCACATTTAGTATTATTTTACAAGAAAGGCACTTTATTTTAACGATTGTATGACATTTGACAACTGTCAACTAACTTAAATCTAACTTCAGCCCGTGACTAAAAACCTGTTGCCAACTTCAGCCCGTGACTAAAGCGCCATAAAGCCATTTTACCTGTAAATTTAATGGAAAATGTCGTCTACAGAAATCTTGGGGTTTTTAAACGACAAAATCAATATTTTCCAAGCATAAAACGATGCGTATACCACCATTCTATTTTGGGATCACAATAACTAGGCGATCTAAGTATAGGCCTGCGGCTCAAGGCGAAAAAAGCTTTTTGTCAATAGTTTACGTGTTTATATTCTTTTTATAGATTAAAAAAGGAAAGTTATTTCTCTAATATTTGAGCATCTGTCCGTACCTTACATTAAAAACAAGTAGGTTAATGGATTAAAAAAATATTTTTAGGGAAAAATTTAACAATGAAAAAATATCAATAGCAATATTAGTAATGCACAATGTCATCGTTGTTGTTTTTTTCGGCTGAACACTCCCGTTTGTAGTAAACTGCTTGACTGTACGGTAAAACGAAGTACGTGATCGAATTTTATCCGGAAAACGCTGAGCGTAGATATTAACAGCATCATCAAGATTCCTGCCTGCTTCTCCATAAATCAAAATCATTTTTATTTTTTCTTCCACTGTTAAAAAATCCGATATGAATAACTACTTAACGAAAGGAGGTTTTTTTGTTTGCAAATTAATCTTCGAACTAAATTGATTAAATAATGCTAAACTATAAATAGTTTCTATATACCTAAATAATAATTATTATTTATAACTAAATACCATTTTTTATACCCCAATTAGGATTAAATTAATTAATTGACAAATTAATGTTTTTTTACCTTAAATGAGGTATTTTTATTAAAAATAGTACAATAATCCTTTAAATTAAAAGATTTAATGATGACAGGTAAAAAGTGACCATGGTGCGCAATTGATAATTATAATATATCACCGAATGAAATAATGTATAAAATTTAAACCAAAGGAAACTTAAATATTAGTTAAAAAATCGTGGGTACTTAAAAAAATCAGATTTAATTTAATAAGACAATTATTACCAAAAAAAGTGATATTTTTATAGAAAAATTATTGCAGAATCGTATACAGAAGAAAAATCGAACAAAATTGATTACAACTATTACAAATATGAAAAATGTTTTAGACAAAATCTGTCTGCAATAAAAATAGGGTGTTCCATTGGAAATTTTAAAGTTATATTTATTTTCCAAAATAATCATTTTTGAAAATAATTTTAAAAAATCTTTTACATTGCCTTATAATTGCTATACAAATTTCAAATCGATATCTTTTTCCGTTCTCTTAATAAGTTAGGTGAATCACCCTGTATATTGTTGTCATTTTTGTTTTTATGGTTATGTTTTTGGGGATACAGTATATTTTTTAAATTAAAATTTCAAATTTTCATTTAAAGTTATTTGATAAAAAACATGAAACCTTGTTAAAATATTCCAGGAAATGTGTAATTAGTAAAATTTTAGTAAATAATATTATTCAATTTTGCCAATTTGAGGATTGTTATCAAAGAAATTATGTAAGTTAATTTAACTTTTCATGGCCGCATTATTAGTTGAAATTGAGTAAAAATAGGTTTATTAACATTTTTATCTTTGCAATAAAAATTTATTTATTTATAGCTTTAAGTTTATTTATTTAGTTTTTAAAATTGTTAAAAATTAAAAAAAAGGTCATGACATGAGTTATTTATGCTATTTTATCTAGGTATTTTGCAAAAATTCTATAAAAAAAATAATTTCAAACCTTAAATTTAATTTGGTCGAATTTTACTTTAGATAGTTGGTATCACAGTCATTGGTTTGACAGTTAATGTCAAAATCGATTCGCCATGCCGTCCTTAATTTACTACTAAAAGGATTTTCTTTGGTGTTAAACAAAATTTGTTGCCAGAAAAGTCTCGTTAGTATTAGAAAAATCATAAAAATATAACCAATATGCAAAATATTATGCTGTTTAAAGTATAGCCAACCTATAAAATCAAAATTTTGGGTGGGATAAAGTATCTCATTACAGCAC